TTTACGGTAGTTCGGGCTAATTGTAAGTGAACGAAGATGAAGACCATTTAAACTGTGGTACCTTAAATCCGACAAGTTGTCCGGCTAAGCAAAAAATCTTGCTTTTTGATATGGGTCCATGGTATTGCACTTCTGTGGCAGATGGAATGCATCCGACTCGTGTTCAGATGTTCAATAAACATGTTAAGTGCATATATATTCCCTTTTTTCTTGAGTCTGTTTGCTCATACAAAATGAAATGTAATTAATATAGATTAAAAATGAATGAAATTTAATCATGATTAATTGAGATTAATCCACAGCAACCCTTTGATTAATGTGATTAAAAATTTTAATCGTTTGACAGCACTAGTAATAATGAATACTGACAAAATGGTATGCTAAATTTTATAGATTTTACAACCTAAAATAAAGTTTTAAAAGGACTTGGCTTCTATTTGGAACACTATTTCTTATGTTTTTTCTAAAGCAGGTGGTCTAAAACTTTCTATTTGCATATTATTATGTTTTTAAAATACCCATCAAACTTTCATAGAGAAATGTTGCTGTCTTGGTGTCTTATCTATAAGCACAGTTTTCCCCATACAAATATTTTATTTGGAACAACAGGAACGTCCTTTATAAATTCAAATATACAGTGCTCAAAAAAAAATTAAAGAAACACTTCAGATCTTAAAGGGAAAAAAATATGCTGGATATCAATACTGATACTGACTGGGTAATGTGTTAGAAACAAAAGGATGCCACATCGTTTGATGGAAATGAAAATTATCCTACAGAGGGCTGAATTCAAACATACCCTGAAAATCAAAGTGAAAAAATGATGCGGCAGGCTAGTCCATTTTGTTGAAATTTCATTGGAGCAACTCAAAATCATACTCAGTAGTTGGTATGGTGCCTGACATAGATCTGGACCAGGGCATCATTGAGCTCCTGGACAGTCTGAGGTGCAACCTGGCGGCGTCAGATGGACCCAAAACATAATGTCACAGAGGTGTTCTATTGGATTTAGGTCAGGTGAGCTTGGGGGCCAGTCAATGGTATCAATTCCTTCATCTTCCAGGAACTGCCTTCATTCTCTTGCTGCATGAGGCACCCAGGACCCACTGCACCAGTGTAGGGTCTGACAATGGGTCCAAGGATTTCACTCCGATATCTAATGGCAGTCAATGTGCTGTTGTCTAGCCCGTAGAGGTCTGTGTATTCCTGCCATTGATATGCCTCCCCAGACCATCACTGACTCACCACCACACCGGTCATGACAAGCAATGTTACAGGCAGCATAACGTTCTCCACAGTCTCCAGACCTTTCACGTCTGGCACATCTGCTCAGGGTGAACGTGCTCTCATCTGTGAGAATCACAGATCGTGCCAATCGAGCTCCATGGTACCGGGCAGTGAGCACAGGGCTCACAAGAGGACGTCGGGCCCTCAAGCCACCCACATGAAGCCCGTTTCTGATTGTTTGGTCAGAGAAATTCACACCAGTGGCCTGCTTGAGGTAATTTTGTAGGGCTCTGGCAGTGCTCATCCTGTTCCTCCTTGTACAAAACAGAAGATACCGGTCCTAGTGATGGGTTAGGGACCTTCTACGGCCCTGTCCAATTGCTTCTGTCCTGGAATTTCCTCCATGCCCTTGAGACTGTGCTGGGAAACACAGCAAACCTTCTGGCAATGGCACATATTGATTCGCCATCCTGGAGGAGTTGGACTATCCATGCAACCTGTGAAGGGTGCAGGTATCGCCTCATACTACCAGTAGTGACACTGACCATAGCTATATGCAAAACTAGTGAAAAAACAGTCAGAAAAGAGGAGGAAAAAATGTCAGTGGCCTTCACCTGTCGAACCATTCCTATTTTGGGGTCATCTCATTGTTGCCCCTCTAGTGCACCTGTTGTTAATTTCATTAACTCTAAAGCAACTGAAACTGATTAAAAACCCCATCTGCTAATTATCTGATCAGGTCAATATACCAGAAGTTTAATTGATTTAATGCTATACTCTGATTAATAAGTGTTTCTTTAATTTTTTTGAGTTATGTATTTTTTGAGAACTGGTTTAAAAACAATATATTTTTATTCACTCAACTAATAAATAACAATTGTCATCTCTGTAATTATTCAGAATTTCTCAATGCTATCGGTACTCCTATAAGCCCCAAGGAATTCTTCATAGTTTTGGACACCATCCCTACTGGTGCTGCTATGGTATTGAGGGATCACTGTTCTGTTTCTCATGCTGTTCCCTTACTGGATCTTTGTGAGTGTGTTTCTCTGTCTCCCGCTGTATTGATAATAGAAAAATCAGGGCAACTCTTTATGCAGGCTGTAACTTCTATACCTCATGTAATTTCATAGTAGAATGCTATGTTAGAAAATATACACTCACCTAAAGGATTATTAGGAACACCTGTTCAATTTCTCATTAATGCAATTATCTAATCAACCAATCACATGGCAGTTGCTTCA